CCGATACTCACCACCTAAAGGGATTGAGTGTGAGGGCGCTTATGCAGCTATACGGCAGTCTGTCCTCATACGGGGCACCATCTGTCGCAGCGGCAATGGTTGTCGGGGCGGCAGAGACAATAACCAATGCCACAACTCTTACAGAGAAGTGGGGCCAGGAGGGTCACTCTGAAGAGTCAAACCCAGCTTCAGTCCCAGTTTATTTTATAATCAATACAGCAAACAGTGAAGCAAATAACAGAACAATGGGCTTTGGGTGAATAACAGTAAGTTTCGGGCAAGGGAGGAGGAATTAGGTAAACAAGCCAATCAGTAACGGGTTTGGTAAAACAAGTCGTGACAGGTCTCAACATGTTGGGGACAAGTCTCAACATATTGTGCAGCATAGAGGCCTTTATACATCCATATTTTAATGGCACATATCCCCACAATTGTGGATCCAAGTAAAATGAAATCCTTGACAACTTCAGTATTCTCTCCATTTATCATGATGTTGTTTATTGGTCCAGTTGTGAGGATTTTTGTTTTCTTTATGTTGAGGTATAATCCATACTGAAGGCTGTGGTGTTTGCCCTTCATCAGTAAGTTCTTCAAGGCCTCTTCACTTTTCAGTAAGCAAGGTTGTGTCATCTGCATAACGCAGGTTGATAATGAGTCGTCATCAAATCCTGATGCCCCATTCTTCATCATATAGTCCAGCTTCTTGAATTATTTGCTCAGCATACAGATTGAATAAGTATGGCAAAAGGATACAACCCTGATGCACACCTTTCTTGATTTTAAGCCATGCAGTATCTCCTTGTTCTGTGCAAAAGGCTGGGTCTTCTTGGTCTATGTATGTGTTCCTCATGCACACAATTAAGTGTTCTGGAATTCCCATTCTTTGCAATGTTATCTATAAATTGTTATGATCCACACAGTCGAATGCTTTTACATAGTCAGTTAAACACAGGTAGACGTCTTTCTGGTATTCTCTGCTCTCAGCCACGACCCATCTGACATCAGCAGTGATATCATTTGTTCCACATCCTCTTCTGAAACCAGCTTGAACTTTTTACAGTTCCCTGTCTGTCTTAGTCATCTAGTGCTGCTACAACAGAAATACCACAAGTGGATGGCTTTAACAAAGAGAAATTTATTTTCTCACAGTCTAGTAGGCTAGAAGTCCAAATTCAGGGCGTCAGCTCCAGGGGAAGACTTTCTCTCTCTGTTGGCTCTGGAGGAAGGTCCTTGTCATCCGTCTTCCCCTGGACTAGGAGGTTCTCTGCATAGGAACCCCCAGTCCAAAGGACAAGCTCTGCTCCTGGCACTGCTTTCTTGGTGGTATGAGGTCCCCCACTCTCTGCTTGCATCCCTTTCCTTTTATCTCTTGTAAGATAAAAGGCGGTGCAGGCCACACCCCGGGGAGACTCCCTTTACATTGGATCAGGGATGTGACCTTGGTAAGGGTGTTACAATCCCACCCTAATCGTCTTTAATGTAAAATTACAATCACAAAATGAAGGACAACCACACATACTGGGAATCATGGCCCAGCCAAATTGATACACACTTTTTTGGGGGGACATAATTCAATCCATGACACTGTCTGTGTACTTCTGCAAATATTTTTGAATTATCTTCAGCAGAGTTTTACTTGGGTGTGATGTTAATGATATTGTTCAATAATTTCCACATTCTATTGGATCACCTTTCTTTGGAATGGGAACAGATATGGATCTCTTCCAGTCAGTTGGCCACGTAGCTGTCTTCCAGATTTCTTGGCATAGAAGAGTAACTGCTTTCATCGTTGTATCTGTTTGTTGAAATATCTCAGTTGGTATTCCGACAATTCCTGGAGCCTTGTTTTTTGCCAATGCTTTCAGTGCAGCTTGGACTTCTTCCTTCAGTAGCATGGGTTCTTGATCATATTTTACTTCCTGAAATGGTTGAACGTTGACCAGTTCTTTTTGGTACAGTGACTCTATGTATTCCTTCCATCTTCTTTTGATGCTTCCTGTGTCGTTCAACATTTTGCCCTTAGAATCCTTCATTATTGCAACTCGCGGCATGACTTTTTCCTCAGTTCTTTCAGCTTGAGAAATGCTGGGCATGTTCTTCTTTTTGATTTTCTAATTCAGGTGTTTGCACATTTCATTATAATACTTTGTCTTCTCAAGCCACCCTTTGAAATCTTCTGTTCACCTCTTCTACTTCATTTCTTCCTTTCACTTCCGCTATTCTGCATTCAAAAGTAAGTTTCAGAGTCTCTTTTGACATCCATTTTGGTCTTTTCTTTCTTTCCTGTCTTTTTAATGTCCTTTTGCTTTCTTCATGTATGATGTCCTTGATGTCATTCCATAACTCATCTGGTCTTCAGTTATTAGTGTTCAGTGTGTCAAATCTGTTCTTGAGATGGTCTCTAAATTCAGGTGGGATATACTCAGGGTTGTCCTTTGGCTCTCATGGACTTGTTTTAATTTTCTTCAGCTTCAGCTTGAACTTGGATTTGATCAGTTGGTGGTCTCTTCTGCAGTTGGCCCCTGGCCTTATTCTCACTGATGATGATGAGCTTCTCCATTGTTTCTTTCCACAGCTTCAGTCAATTTGATTTCTTTGTATTATATCTGGTGAGGTCCACATCTGTAGTTGCTGTTCATATTGTTGGAAAAAAAAAAGGTATTTTCAATGAAGAAGTCACTGGTCTTGGCAAAATTCTGTCATGCAATTACTGCATCGTTTCTATCACCAAGGCCATATTTTCCAACTACTGATCCTTCTTCTTTGTTTCTAACTTTTGCATTCCAATCACCAGTAATTATCAGTGCATCATGATCGCATATTTGATCACTTTCAGACTGCAGAAGTTGGTAAAAATCTTCAATTTATTCATCTTTGGCATTAGTGTTTGGTGCGTAAATTTGAATAATAGTCATATTAAGTGGTCTTCCTTGTAGGCATATGGCCTGTTATCCTATCATTCACAGCGTTATACCTCAGGATAGGTCTTGGAATGTTCTTTTTGACAGTGAATGCAATACCATTCCTCTTTAATTTGTTATTTCCAGCATAGTAGACCGTATGATTGTCCAGTCATAATGGTCAGTGCCAGTCCATTTCAGCTCACTGATGCCTAGGATGTTGTTCTTTATGCATTCCTTTTCACTTTGACAGCTTTCAGTTTTCCTAGATTCAAACTTCGTACATTCCACATTCCTGTTATTAATGGACATTTGCAGCTGTTTCTTCTCATTTTGAGTTGTGCCACATCAGCAAATGAAGGTCCTGGAAACTTCACTCCATCCACATCATTAAGGTTGACTCCACTTTGAGGAGGCAGCTCCTTCCCATTCTTATTTTGAGTGCCTTCTAACCTCAGGGGCTCATCTTCCATCACTATAGCAGACGATGTTCCACTGCTAACCATGAGGTTTTCGCTGGCCAATTTTTCAATGTATTATCAGATCCTTCTCCCTAGTTTGTCTTAGTCTGGAAGTTCCACTGAACCCTGTCCGCCATGGTTGACCATGCTGGTATTTGAAATACCGGTGATGTAACTTCCAGCATCACAGCAACACCCAAGTCACCACAGTATGGAAACTGACAGATGAGTAGTGGGTGACTTGTATAGCATACAGCTTTCTGCTTAGGGGTCTCAGATTGTTCCATTGTTCCTTGGGTCGTGAAGAGAATACTTTTCTATGATTTTTAGGTAGACTGTTAATACTTGTAGCCTTGTTTCCTTGGTATGTTATTTTCCCCTGTAAAATGATGGTCTTAAAAGACCAAGTTACCTGACCTAATTTCAAGCAAATGTTTCAAGGAATATGGCTTGCATATCTGTTTGGTTCTTATTTTCTGAAGCTGAATTTCCTCTTGAGAGCCGTTGTACTGATGATTTTTTAAGTGCTTTGACTCGGCCTTTTTTTTCTGCTTTTTTTTTTTTTTCTTCCTTACTTACAGTTTAGCACAATCCTGAACCGATAGAACTTTCCATGATGGTGGAAAAAATAGCCACATGTGGCTAGTGACTGCCATATTGGACTATACAATCTGGTCTTCAAAGCATTTGAGACTTCTGTTAAAAATATATTAATAAAATCTTATTACTCCCGGGGATTATTTCTTCTGTAACAGTTTCATCTGTAATAAACCGAAACCAAAAAATCCACTGTTGTCAAGTTGACTCCAACTCATAGTGACCCTATAGGACAGAGTAGAACTGCCCCATAGAGTTTCCAAGGAGTGGCTGGTAGATTCGAACTGCCAAATTTTTGGTTAGCAGCCGAGCTCTTAACCACTGCGCCACCACGGCTCCTTTGTAATAGTTTTTTAATATTCAAAGCCCTGAAGCCTGTCTAGTGGTTTTGAAGACTATGACGGTGCATTGAAATTCGCCATTTCTTAGAGGAAAAGGGCTCTCTTATGACACCTATATTGTGACTACTTTCCAAGAGGAGAATTAGAAATAAGTCGGAACTAACATGTGAGTGCCTAATGAGCCAGCTCAGTGCTCATGTATTACTTGATAAGATGAAAAGGAAGAAGGACCAGCAACAAAAACAACAAACTGGGAAATCAAACCGTTCTCTTTAAGTGCACGGCAGTTGGATGACCACAGCTATTACACTTCTACCCTAGAACTAGACAGGAAAATTTTTCGTATGTCCTGATATTATGAGTTACTGTTTTATACAGGAAACCCTGCTGGCACAGTGGTTAAGAGCTACGTCTCCTAACCAAAAGGTCGGCAGTTTGAATCTACCAGGTGCTCCTTGGAAACCTTAGGGGGCAGTTCTGCTCTGTCCTGTAGGGTCGCTGTGAGTCAGAATGGACTCGATGGCAACGGGTTTGGTTTTTTGGTTTTTATTTTATGCAAGTCCCTTGGCAGTGCAAATGATTAATGCGCTTGGCTGCTAACCAGAAGCTTGCAGGTTCAAGTCCACTGCAGGTCATCCGAAGAAAGGCCTGGTGATTTACTTCAGAAGAATCAGCCATTGAAAACTCTGTGGAGCACAGTTCTGCTCTGAACACAACATGGGTTGCCATGAGTCAGAATCAACTCGATGGCAGCTAGTTTTATTTAATGCAAAATTAAACTGTCTGTAATATTGCTGTTCAACATTTAAAAATTCTCATAAGAAAAATCAGTTTTTCATATTTCCAAGGAACAAGTTGGGAAAAGAAAATACTTTTGTGCTTTCAAATTGTTGTACCATTAACCCTGTTATCTGTACTATCCTTAAATTCCAGAGCCGGAAACAGAATTGTTGAAATAGTGCCCGAACATCTGAAACAATTCCAGTCCCTCGAAACTTTGGACCTAAGCAACAATAATATTTCCGTGCTTAAAATGGCATTTCCATCCCTACAACTCAAGTATCTGTAAGTGAAATTTTCTTTAACAAAAATTTTCACTTGTAGTGAAAATGTTGGCTGCAACAATGGACTCAAACATCAGTGCTTTCGAGGATTGCGTGGGACTGGACAGTGTTTCCTTTTTTATACTGTTGTAGAGAAAAGACTCTCTATCTCTGTTAAAGGAAATCAGAGAGATTTGTTGAAGCCAAGATACCATTCAAATGGGGGAACGTGAAAGCCTCAGGGTCTGAAGCTCATGAAAACCCAGGGAGGGGATGCAAATCACACCTAGTTATAGTACCGTAGGAGGAACTAGAAAGCACAATTATTCCTTTTTAAAAAAAAAATTTTTTTTTATTGTATTTTAGATGGTTTACAGTTAGTACACATATTGTTTTATGACATTGGTTAACAACCCCACGACATTTCAACACACTCCCTTCTCAGCCTTGGGCTCCGTATTACCAGCTTTCCTTGTCCCCTCTTGCCTTCTAGTCCTTGTCCCTGGGCTGGTGTGCCCCTTTAGTTTTATTTTGTTTCATGGGCCTGTCTCATCTTTGGCTGAAGGGTGAACCTCAGGAGTGACTTCATTACTGAACTAAAAGGGTATCTGTCCGATGGCCATACTCTTGGGGTGTCTCCAGTCTCTGTCAGGCCAGTAAGAAAGTAAGAAAGGCCAATTCTGATTGGTTTGCAGTGATTGAGGTCAGTCAAAAAGGAGACAAAGTGAAGTGTGATTTTTAGCAGTATTGGTTACACTAATACAGCTGGAATACCTTGATTGGCTAAAAGATATAATTACAAGATACGTGGTTGTGGGTGGGGGTCTCATGACTGTCACAAAACAATGGCATGATGATGGCCTGATGATACTGTTGGGAGCAGGTTGTTAAACATTACCTCACCCAGAGCATAAGATCTCCTGGGGAGACTGGACACAAAGTGGTTTTGGTTACAGACCCCTGACCACAGGGAAAGCATTTCCTTAATGATGGGGTTGGTTCCTAAGCAGCAAGGTTTGAGTCTGTGTGAAAGGTTACACTGGGCCTTAGCATTAGTTGAGCTGTTTTTATTTTAGGTCAGATGCCTCTTTTAATTTTATATCCCATATAATACATAATTCACCATGAGTGGGACCCAACTCAGCAGAACCTAACAACAACTAGAATGAAAATATGGTGGTGTAATTAAAAGGTAAACTTTAAGATAGAGTAGACAGCCTGTTTTATTGCCAGTAGATCCAAAATGGAACGTTTTCATTGGCTTGTAATTTGCTTGCCATAAGCCTGAGTAATCACAGTCTTCATTTTATTCTTACACTCTTGGATTATAAAAATTTAACGTCCTATAAGTGCTAGAAAAACTACATGGGGTAACAGGCACTTCTTTTTGAAAAATAATTAAACCATTGCTGTGCTTTATTAATAAATAGATTCCAAAAAAGTAGATAAATAGCTCTAACAATTTCTTTTGTAATCTTCAAATACTCCAGTAACTCTTTGCCTAGCAGTGTGTGTTAATCGCCCTGGTGGTGCAGTGGTTAAGAGCTTGGCTTCTCCTTGGAAGCCCTATGGGGCAGTTCTACTCCATCCTATAGGGTGGCTATGAGTCCGAGTTGAGTCAGTGGCAACAGTTTTGTTTTTCTTTTTTAATACTGGTCTGTAGGTCCCAAATAGTAATTAAGTGTCCATTATTGCAAGTGATGGTCAGGTTGTCTGGAGATCCTTTATGATACAGATGATACATGCATATTACCTTCCCAAAGAAACCAGAAAGAAGGAACTTATCTTCACACTTTCAACAGGTATATCAACAGCAACCGAGTCACATCCATGGAACCTGGTTGTTTTGACAATTTGGCCAACACACTCCTGGTGTTGAAGCTGAACAGGAACCGACTGTCAACTCTCCCACCCAAGATGTTTAAACTTCCCCAACTGCAGCACCTGTAAGTAAAAGCCTCGTACATATCGTTTCTTCACCTCTTAGAAACCCTCGGTGTCTGTCCCCTAAAAACCATAATGTGGCAAAAAGAGTTTAGAAGCAAGGATGTGGTCGCCTTTCCTTTGAGAAACTAGAGTTGTAGAATCTCTGAATTGGAAAGAATCTTAAAAGTCACCTGGTACACGCTTCTGCCTGACAAGACACATTAGGTTGTTACTGAAAGAGTGCACAGTGTAATCACTGAACAACCTCCTTACAAAGGGGTCATTGTGGCACTGAAGAAATCGTGGGGATTCTCAGCAGCTGTAGTTTATGAGAATAATACCGACAACTCCAGGAGTCTCTTTAATAGCTAAAGTGGCTGTAAAGCACTGTCTGCTTAATAATGGGAGAATGATCTGTGAACAGGCTCCTGCAATAGTGGTTTTCAACCTCAGCTGCACATTACAGACACTTGGGGAGCTTTTAAAAATCCCAATGCCCAGGCCACACCCTTGACCAATTATATGAGAACGTCTGAGGTTAGAATCTAGGCTTCGGTAAATTTTAAAACTCCCCAGATGATTTCCAGTGTGCAACCAAGGTTTATACTTCAAGGTTCACCTTAAAGAAAAAGCATCAAACATAAAAAGAATCATGAAAGATAAAAGCCAACTTTTGTAAGCAGATGGAGCAGGGTAAACGTGACGGCCCTGCTCTTGAAAAGAGCTTGTTTTAATATAAAATTCAATGTTCTCATTCTGGATCATTTAAAACAAGTGTTAATCAGTTTACTTCTATACTGAGTGGGCAATAGATTAGAAATTAAACTGCAGTTGAGTTTCCATATTTTGTCTTCCCAAAATAAATCTCACACTTCAGAAGGAAATTTACTCACTGCTACTAAACCAGAATTCTTCCCAATCAAAATGTTTAGAAATGTAAAACATTGGGTATAATTTAACATTGACGGGTTTAACTATACTGTAACCATGTCACATTTTATTACTACCTCCTTAGTCTTATAAACTAACTGTTTAATATCCAATGCAGTGAACTGAACCGAAACAAGATTAAAAATGTAGATGGACTCACATTTCAAGGGCTTGGTGCTCTGAAGTCTCTGAAAATGCAAAGAAATGGAATAACAAAACTTATGGATGGAGCTTTTTGGGGGCTGAGCAACATGGAAATCCTGTAAGTGTTGGTTGTCCCAGTCTCCACTCAGGCGATGTTGATTATAGGACGCTCAGTGAACATTCAGTAACTCTGGTTTGAAATCCTGTGTGAAAATCTCATAATTTATAATTCGAGTTATAATTTAATTTTCTTTTCCGGGTAATGGTGATTGAGGATTTATAAACACATAGTATCTGTTGCTGATGTTTTCATAGAATAAAAGCTAAACATCTAGTAACAATAGGAATATATAATAGGTTGTAATCATAGGTCCCCTTTGAAAAGACTAGATAGTAAACTTTTGATCCTACTGTTGGTTCCTATTGAAAATATAGGCAGCTGGATCATAACAACCTAACAGAGATTACCAAAGGCTGGCTTTACGGCTTGCTGATGCTGCAGGAACTTCATCTCAGCCAAAATGCCATCAACAGGATCAGCCCTGATGCCTGGGAGTTCTGCCAGAAACTCAGTGAGCTGTGAGTTGCCTTTTATCCTCTTCAGGTTTAAGAGCAGGGATCATGCCAGAGCATGGCGGTTCTCACCAGTCATCTGTGAAATTTTCATAACGAAGTTTCCAAGGTGACAGCTTTATTTATTTATTTTTTTCCACATGCAACTTAGTCGTATTTTTGTTGTGATAAGTTGAAGCCAACTCTGCCATTTCAGTTCTGTGTCAGGTTGGCTAAAGGAACGTTGGTCATGTTCAAATAAAGACAATATATTTTGTTTTAATTACTAGCATTAGAAATTATGTTGACCTCAGCATTAAAAAAGGATCACTGTAGTTGCCTGTATTACCTGTTTTGGGTTTTTGGGGTTTTTTAAGAAAGCAAATCATTGCGATGAATTGAAAAATTAAAGCTATTCTTTGTTTTTGTTATGTTTTTCTTTGCAGGGACCTGGCTTACAATCACTTATCAAGGTTGGATGATTCAAGCTTCCTTGGCCTGAGCTTACTAAATACGCTGCACATTGGGAACAACAAAGTCAGCTACATTGCTGATTGTGCCTTCCGGGGCCTTTCCAGTTTAAAGACTTTGTAAGTTACACATTTTGCTCTCGGTACATGAACCTAATTTGCTCCTAAATGTGCCTACTTTTCTCCAAGCATATTTCCTTTGTTGTGAAGGAAATGCATACGGCCTCAGAAGTAGTCTTAATCTTTCCCAGATCAGTTTGATTAAAATAGGCCTATTTCATCCATATGTGATTCTTAAAAGGATTGAAAAAGACAGTGATCAGATTGTTTTGGTAATTACAGTTTACCCCTCTCAGGATCTCCCGGAAGTTAGTAACTGCTTAAGAGGGAAACAATTTTAGATTTCCTAATTTTCTTTATAAAACACAGATTAAAAACTACCCAAAGAGAAAGGATATGCAAAGGCCAGCAAAGGAAGGAGCCTGTTTATAATGCCAATTATATCTAGGCCCTGGCCTCCGTCCTAACAGAAAGAAGAGACAGTTGAATTAATTGACCTCTGAGAAATCTCTCAAATGTTAATTTAATGTTTTGCAGTGGGCTTTTGATTTTTGCACTGTCAGAAACTTTAGCTTCATTCAGTATTTGAAGAGTTACATAACTAAAAGACACGCTGTCTGCTTTGGCGAGCACCTCCTTGTGTGGTTAGAACACTGGTTTAAGGTTTATTGTATTTTTCAGACTATTTACATCTTTCAGAATTTAGTCATCTTGATAGAGAAATTAATAGGGCCCAAACCTGCGTATTGGCCAACTGTTCTGATTTTGGGCAAACACTTAATATGTTGCTGGGGAGCAGGGCAGAGTGTAAGAGGTATATTGGGGAGATAAGACATTTCCCATTGTTTTGAAAGACGTGAAAATGATGGAGGAAATTAAGAGGAGTTTATTAGACATTACATCTACCTGGCTGGTGGTCTTAGACGTCTGATCAGAACTGTAGAGAGAATGCTCGTATCTTTTCTAAGTACCTGGTTCTAGATTCAGTAGCAGACCTTGTTTTAATTAGGGATCTGAAGAACAATGAAATTTCCTGGACCATTGAAGACATGAATGGTGCTTTCTCTGGGCTTGACAAACTGAGGCAGCTGTGAGTATGATTTGCCTCGTAATTTGACTCACTCTTTGACCTAAAAAAATGTGTCAGTTCCACAGTTTGTCATCTTAAAGAGTTTAGAAATAGGTGCATAATCTGGTTGCTACTCATCGTTTCTCAGAATGAGTGCTAGTATACAAGATGAGTTTTAATTAGCTTTTCTTCCTTGGGTAAAAGAGTTTTATTTAACATTTTATTGTCTAGATAATAATTTTAAATTATTTTGCATGCTTAGACTTTTGGGGATTATTATTGTATAAAAGTTAGTGCACTTAACTAACTTCAACGTTTTGAAACCTTCTACATTGTTTTTTACTGATAGGAATTTTTAAATGAGGTGATTCAGTATCCACCAATAATACTGCAGTAGGTTCCAAATAATACAGGATAAAATGTATTTACATCCAACCATAATATGAACTTGCAGATGGCCAAACTATGTGTCTTAAGCCAGTGGTTCTCAAATTGAGTTCCATATAGCCCTAGAGCCCTGTGGAAGATAAAGGTACCCCTGGAGAGGGGGGCTGAGGAGAAACGCTCCACTGTTATCAGTTGTATTTATTGTAGTTTTAAGACAATTTATGTTGAATAAACTTCCTACCCATTCCTAAAAAGACTTCGAGAAATCACTATTTTAATTGAACTATCAGAGTAATATTTATGGAATACTTGTTTTTGTTGAGCTGTTGGTTGTATACTTGAAAACCGTGCGGAACTGTATTACTGAAATAGATGACATGAACACATTTTTACAGGATATGTAGCTGAATTGAAAAAAGTAGAATTGTTCACAAATGATTTCAAAAGTGCTTCTTTTTGTGAGAGCACTCCCCCACCTCAAATGGTTTTTATTAACCGTTCCAACGTAATTTTTTTCAGAATACTCCAAGGAAACCGGATTAGGTCTATTACCAAAAAAGCCTTCACTGGTTTGGATGCATTAGAACACCTGTAAGTAGCTGGAATTTAATCACCCTAAAGATAGTCTGGAGCCCTGGTGGTGCAGTGGTTAAAAGTTACGGCTACTAACCAGAAAGGTCGACAGTTAGAATCCACCAACCGCTCCTTGGAAACCCTGTGGAGCAGGGCAGTTCTACTCTGTCCTGTAGGGTCACTGTGAGTCAGAATTGACTCAGTGGCAATGGGTTTTCTTTTAAAGATAGTCCAAGATGGTTACCTATTAATATATGCCTCTTGAAAGATTAAAAAAGAATGTAATGTTGTTGGCATCCTCTCAGCACTGTAAAGCATATATTTACAAATCTACCTGTTACCTATCCATCCACCTGTGGATGTATACAGTCATATGTTTTCTTTTGCATTTACGGACATTGCTACATGTCATTGTTGGGCTGACTTTTAGTTGTTTTCCTAGAGTGGGGTTATATTTAATTAAAATAAAAACCAGAACTGCCATTTATTGTGCACCCACAATGTACCAGGCTATGCCTGGTATGTATATTGTCTCATTTAAGCCTCACAAAAAAAACTGTTTAATAGCCATTATTATCATCCTTATTTTTAATTTAAGAAGCAGAGGTTCTGAAGGTTCATTGATTCCATTGGACAGCCTGTGTGCTTCCTTAGGGTCCCGAGTCACACTGTCTCTTGCCTGCAAATCTCTACCCTAACCCCCAGTAAATCCTGCACACATTTTTGAAATGACATTTAGGGACTCAGGAACTTTAAACCACTTGGAGAGCAAAACTAGTCAACCTTGATAGGAGTCAGAATCTATATGAGCACCAGGTTTTGACTAATTGAACCAAGCAGCTGCATTATAACCATGGGTATATGGACTGCCAGACAAACGAACAAGTCTGTCTTCAAAGAAGTGCAACCAGAATGCTCCTTAGAAGCAAGGATGTGAAGACATCATCTCATGTACTTTGGACATGTTATTAGGAGGCACCAGTCCCTGGAGAAGGGCATCATGCTTGGTAAAGTAGAGGGTCAGCAAAAGAGAGGAAGAGTCTCAATGAGGTGGATTGACACAGTGGCTGCAACAATGGGCTCAAACATAACGATTGTGAGGATGGCGCAGGACTCAGCAGTGTTTCGTTCTGTTGCACATAGGGTCACCATGAGTCGGAACCTACTCAATGGCACCTAACAACAGCAACACACACTGTCCACTTATACAGCAAAAGTACAGAAGTAATGTAGACTATGCCTATTCTGACTGTTAAGGAGTCTTCGCTGTCAGAAATTTTAATCTATTAACTAATCTAATCTAATCTATTAATTTGAACAAAAGAAGTAACAATTTAAAGTACACATTTGATTTGCTGTCATTTGTGCTGTGTATTGAGGGTGAAGATTTGGCTGTGACCTGTAAACTCCCCTTGGTTGTTGCCTTCTGACTGTACCTGTTAGATTGAGGGAGCTGTGGATTGCAGGCCATACTGACAATGTAGCAGCACAGATCGTCAGTAGAGTAATTCTACAAAGCAGGGTTTTGGAAGGACACACCAGTGACACTCTACTTACTGAAAAAAATTATTTTCAAAGGAAAACTAGCCCAAAGGTTTGTCATCTGGTCCATTCTATTTCTGGGAGGATGGAATGAATGAGTGGATCAGTGGAGTGTTAACCTCTGCTTCGGTTTTCTAAACATTCATGAACTTTCCTAGCCTGCTCTCCCCCCATGTTCTAGTAACTTTATTCTCTTCCTCTCTTGCCACTTGTTTCAATCAAAATCGCTTTTGTATACTCTGCGTAGTACTCAGAGGAGTAATCATTGTGGAGAGTACTTTAATTCAAACTTCCTGTAAGTCCTAGTTGAAAATAAAATCAGCCCAGAATATTCTCTCATTTTATAAATGAGCCATCTGAAGTGGGTGTTTTTGCTTGTTTGTTTTAACAAGTACATCTTGTCTGAACACCTTACTGCATTTACGGTAGTGAGCAGTATGGGGCAGAATAAGCTAGCGGTCAAGAGCGTAAGTTTGGGGATTAAAAATAATGGGGTTTAAATACTATCTGCCCCTTTCAGGCTAAGCAAGATAGTAATACCGTCTTCTTTTGGGTTGCTGTGAGGAATAAATGGAGTAATATATGTAAATCACTTAACACAGTGAATAGCATAGAAAGTGTTCTATAAAGGATGGTTTTTCGAAAGCAAAATTACGAGGAATTTTATTTGTGTATTTAAAAGTTACTAATGGTTACCAATTTGAATAATGAGAAATACAGGAAAATAATATAGCAGAAGAGATTGGGCCCCCACGAGTCAAATAACTTGCACATAGTTCATCTCTCTCACCGTAAGAGAACCTGCTTCTGATACAGATATTCTTCAATCCAACCTTTGTAGTGGGTTCTCCTGGAGTTGCCTCCTTCATGCACTTCAGTGCATAGATTGTTCGGTGAATGAGGTGGGTAATGTGGGCCTGGATTCTGCCTCAAGACACATAATGGCCACATCTTCTGATGTATTTGATTTGATTGTTTTTTCCAGAGACCTGAGCAACAATGCAATCATGTCATTACAAGGCAATGCATTTTCACAGATGAAGAAACTTCAACAATTGTAAGCTTTCCTTTTCCTTCGAAGATTTTCAAATGAAATACAGGGGAGAAACTTGTCATGGGGTGGGTCATCCTAGGCTGTAGCTTAATTTTTTTTTACCAGAAAACAAAAGGAGTTTATTTGTTAGATTACATTAAGGATTGGAATAAAAAAAAAAAAAAGTCCCTAGGTGGTACAAACGATTAATGTGCTCAACTGCTGACCAAAAGGTGGTAGGTTCGAATCCATGTAAAAGTGCCTGAGAAGAAAGATCTGGAGATCTACTTCCGAAAAATCAACCACTAAAAACCCTTTGGGGCACAGTTCTACTCTGACACACATGGGGTCATCATGAGTTGCAGTCAACTCAGTGACAACTGGTTTTTAGGGTATTTTGATATATTGGCACGTCTTTTCAGTAGGACAGTAATATCACCCTTGTTAACATTTCTTGCATTTTAAGACGGACTTGTTGTGTGCTGTCAAGTCAGTTCTGACTCATAAGACCCTATATGTCAGAGAACTGCCTCATAGGGTTTCCTAAGCTGAAATCTTTACAGGAGCAGATCTTTTCTCCTGAAGAACGGTTGTTGGGTTCAAACCCCTGACCTTTTGGTTAGCAGCTGAGTGCTTAACCATGGCGCCATCAGGGCTTCTTCTTAAAAGGAACTGTAGAATATTAATTACAATGGGGTATGTGTATTTGGTTTCCAAATCCGTAGCTTTGTTAATATTTACTTGAGTCTAGTTTACTTGTAGAAATCTGCATTTCATACAAAACAAATTAATGTAATTACTCTCTTCAGGCATTTAAATACATCAAGCCTTTTGTGTGATTGCCAACTAAAATGGCTCCCACAATGGGTGGCGGAAAATAACTTTCAGAGCTTTGTAAATGCCAGTTGTGCCCATCCTCAGTTGCTAAAAGGAAGAAGTATTTTTGCTGTCAGCCCAGATGGCTTTGTGTGTGGTAAGTATAACTGTTGCCCTTTTGTTCTACTCATTCTTTTTCCCCTCCCATTTATCCAAATAATGGTTTTGAATAGGCTTGTGTTCTCTTAATAAACCTTTTATTTCTACTGAAGTAAATGAAAATCGATCTGTAGTTTGCTGATTAGTTTCATTTTACAGATGGAAAAGAGAGTTTTCTAAAATGTCTTCATCTTAGTTTGGCATCAGGTGGTTTGGGTAAAGAGAAATTGATACTGGATCTTGGGAGAATGGAGGGATAGCCCTGTCCTCTCTAAAAAACAAAAACTGTTGCTGTAGTCGGTTAGGACAGAGTAGAACTGCCCCATAGGGTTTCCAAGGCTGTAAATCTTGAGTCTAAGGCAGACTACCACCTCTTTCTCCCAAGGAGCAGCTGGTGGGTTCAAATGACTTATCCTCTCTACTTAACTTAAATTTCCTAAATCTCAGTCTCTGCATCTACAGAATGGGAATTCTGCTACTTACTCTTTGCATTGCAGGAGTTGTAGGGCGGCTCACGAGTTCTGTAACGAGACTCAAGTAAACCCTGTGCAAATGCTATTTGTGTGGGGTGGAAAGGAAGAATTATTAGCTAATGATTTGTGGGCTGGTAAAAATTTAACTCTTGGTGAATAAAGCGCTATAAGCAACAGAAAGTTTGAATTTATTATAAATGATGCATTGTTTTAGTATCTAAGGATTTCGGCATTAGAGGTCTGCTTACCCAAAGTTCATATAACTAATTAGTAACAGATCTGGAGCGTTCCTCTCCCTAGAGCAGCCTCTGACCACCCCATTCCACTGCTGTTTACTGTTAGTTGCCATGAAGACCTTTGTAAAAATAAGTATGTGTATAAAACATGAAATCAAAATTTACTCAAATTTAAATGTGTGTTAAGGTATCGCAGAACCTTTGTCTTACATTGGCATTTAAGATTTTACCTAAAACTACTTTGCCTAGGATTGTTTATTTTGTTCAAGTGAAAAAATAAATATTTTACTAAGTTGCAGCATTAATCAAAGCCAATAGTTTCTGGAAATAAACCTTCTGATGTAGCTTTTGGATCTGAGTAAGTTTTTGGCATTCAGCTATAAGGGCTTGAACAATTTCCTCCCATGATTGCCCTGGTTTAATAATTCTTTAGTCACAAGATAACGGAGTCTCTGTTACTTAGAGACATACATGCAGCAGCCATAGAATTTTCACTTCCTCCCTTGTGAATGAGAACATTGATTCGCCAGATAAGAATTTCAGAATAATTATACATAAGAAGAAGCTATCTTGATTACAGCATGCAAGCATGGCATTGAAAATTAACAGTTAATCAGAGCATCAAACCCCCTACCACCCGATCCCCTGGCCACCAGTTCACACACACATAAGTTTTTCTGGTAGGTCTAGATGTTTCTTTCGGGGTTTAGACTGCCTCTGAGAAACTGAAGTTCAAAATGTAACTTTTTGAAAACGTAATAGAGAACCAAGAATAACTGCTTAGAGTGAAAGAGTTGCTTAGCTCTAATTATAATGTAGTTCCAACGGTGTAGCCCAGCAGCTTGATTGACTGGCTACTCAAACTCTGGGCCAAAACCAGTGTCTCACAGTTTTGTTGATGCTTTTTCTTCTGCTATAGGATTTTGTTTTGTTTTGCCCTGGTGGTGCAGTGGTTAAGAGCTCAGCTGCTAACCAGAAGGTTAGCAGTTTGAATCCACCAGCAGCTCCTTGGAATCCCTAAGGGACAGTTCTACTCTGTCCTGTAGGATCGCTATGAGTCGGAATCGGCTTGACGGCAATGGGTTTTAATATTGGTTCTGTTTCTGGTAAATGAGGTGTTAGTGGCTGTATTTAGTAATTTTTTTTAATCACTTTTAATTTCTTAGTTTTACTGTTCCTTATTTGTGAGGGAATCCCTGAGTGCAAACAGTTAATGCTGTCAGCTGCTGGCCAAAAAGTTGGCCATTCAAGTCCACCCAGAGGTGCCTTGGAAGAAAGGCCTAGCAGTCTGCTTCTGAAAAATCAGCCATCGAAAATCCTAGGGAGCACAATTTTACTCTGACAAACATGGGGTCACCATAAGTCAGAATCAATGCGACAGCAACTGGTTTGGTCTTTTGCTTAATTTATGGAGAACATGGTAAAAATTGGAGTTCCTAAAGTAACATTCACAGATGATCCATGAGCCTAGACGTTTCTTAACTAATCTCTTCTTGTGTTTATAAAAAGCAAGGGGTCCGCATAAACTATGGGTTTTCTGATAATTCCAAAAATTAGTCTCCACTCAGGTAATAATAATTGATAAGTAGGTCTCAGTCTCCATTTGAAATAAATGAATTACTTTATCAACACTCTCCCATGGTATCATTTCAATACTAGGACAGCTAGTCCATCTGTAAACGATACACAGGAGGTAAAACCTAAGCCATGGTTTGTTTTGAGCTTCTTGGTGTTCACATTTGAGCAGCATTTGGCCTTTAGAGCCTTAACATTGTTTTGTTTCCTCCTCTCCATTTTGAACAGATGATTTTCCAAAACCCCAGATCACGGTTCAGCCAGAAACACAGTCGGCAATAAAAGGATCCAATTTGAGTTTTATCTGCTCGGCTGCCAGCAGCAGTGATTCCCCAATGACTTTTGCTTGGAAAAAAGACAATGAACTGCTGCATGATGCTGAAATGGAAAATTACGCACACCTTCGGGCCCAAGGCGGCGAGGTGATGGAGTACACCACCATTCTTCGGCTGCGCAACGTGGAGTTTACCAGTGAAGGGAAATACCAGTGTGTCATTTCCAATCACTTTGGTTCATCCTACTCTGTCAAAGCCAAGCTTACTGTAAATAGTATGTGATCCGACTTTTCTGTTTGCATTTAAAGATGATTTTTAGAGATAGATAGCATTTGGTTTATTTTTCTCTGATTCCTAGCCCCTCTCCTCTCAGCTCATGTTTTCCTACCTAACGTTTCCATTCCCCAGCTCCCACTCCACAAAATTAAGATTCTTGGCTGTTTGTATCTGAGTAAGCATTTATCACGTTCGAAGCAAGGTTTTCAGCATGGTGAACAGCACAGTGATGAACCAGACACTTTTTGCTCTTTGGGAGTTTGCGATGCTCTAGTTCGATGCAGAAGGCTACAAAGTAGAGTGTTAAAACACGCCACCTTTGATTCAGAGATCTGAGTTTGAATCCTGGCATGCCTGCTTAGGCCGTGTGACTCTCACAAGTTCCTTAACTGCTCTGTGTCTCCATTTCTACATCTTTAAATTGGGGATAATAGTATCTACCTTCAGAAGGGTATTATGAGCATTAAAATAATGTGTTTAAAGGATTTAGAAGACTACCTAGAATGTAGTAAATGCTTAGTAAATGCAATAAAGTTAGCTAGTGTTGATAAAAGAAGCCCTGCTAGCACAATTGTTAAAGTGCTCGGCTGCTAACGGAAAGGTCAGTGGTTCGAACCCAGCAGCCGCTCCGTGGGAGAAAAGACCCAGCGATCTGCTCCCGTAAAGATCCTAGGAAGCCCTATGGGGCAGTTCTACTCTGTCCTGTACGGTCTCTGGGTCAAAATCGACTTGACAGCACCTAACAACAGCAAGTGTTAATAAAAGTATATCGTCATTTGCTTTATGTGGCAGGTATACAATTTTTACAGTAGGATTTTTACTACTTTAACATTTAACCATTTGTATTTGCCATGATTGAAGATTTTGGATAGAATTCTTTAATGGATTCACTCAACAAATGGTTGCTGAGTCCTGGCACAATTTTGAGTTAAAAATTATAGGGAAGAACACATATCTAAAGTCATTGAATGTTTGAGTGCAAAGAAATTTTTTTAAAAAAATACGTAAAGTGAGTGATTTCCTTAAGATCTCACAGTTAATTATTGAAGGAACTAAAGAATGGCCCAATAATAGCAGAAAGACCTCTGGTCTGAGGATCAGATGACTTGAGCTTCATCCTGACTCTGTCATCTCTGTTACCTGTGTAACCTCGAGCAAGACATTCTCTCCATCTCAGCCTAGTTTCCCTTCACTTCAGTTGGACATAACCCCTGCCTTCCCCATATGATCAGACTGTTGTAAATGTTTTTTTAAAAAAAGGGGGAGTGAGGAGTGAAAGTGAACCTGTAGAAATCCTTTGCACTAACACCTTGGTTTTTCTCTGATTTCAGTGCTTCCTTCGTTCACCAAGACACCCATGGACCTTACTATTCGCGCTGGTGCCATGGCGCGCTTGGAGTGCACAGCTGTGGGGCACCCAGCCCCTCAGATAGCCTGGCAGAAGGACGGGGGCACAGACTTCCCTGCTGCAAGGGAGAGACGCATGCATGTTATGCCAGAAGATGACGTCTTCTTTATCGTGGATGTGAAAATAGAGGACATCGGAGTCTATAGCTGTACAGCTCAAAACAGTGCAGGAAGTATTTCTGCAAACGCAACTCTGACTGTCCTAGGTAAGTGAGTCTTTTAAGATTCTGTGGTATAAATCAGTCTTAAAGACACTGGCTCACTCACACGCCCTATTTGGCACAAGGTGTGAGGGATGGAGATCTATAGGACACTGCCCTTTCCAAGAGAGAACGGATGGCTTCTCATAAACTTGGGAGTTGGGGAGCGCGTTCCATGTTCAGGTCTGTGGCCAGTGAGATGAATCTACTCCCATTCTGAGGAGAGGGGAAAAGGAAAAGAGTCTTCCCCATTCTGTTGCAAAAATTGTGTTAACACAAAAAAAAAACTGTAAGGAACAAAAAAACATAAACAAATTCGGAAGGATCTACTCTGTTTCTTGGTCTGCCATAAAAAATACAAATAAAAAAATGCCATCAAGCGGCTTCTGACTTACGGCGACCCTGTGTGTGTCAGAGTAGAACTGTCTGCATGGGGTTTCCCTGACTGTAATCTTTACAGAAGCAGATTGCCAGACCTTTCTTCTGTGGGACCACTAGTTGGGTTTGAACTGCCAACCTCTATGCTAGTAGCTAATCACAAACCACTTGTACTATCCAAGGACCTCTGGCCTACCATACCAATCTGGAAAACGGTATTTTTTTTTTAACTTTCTTAAACAAATGTTTGAAAGAGTTAATTGTAGTAACCTGTTAAGACATCAAATAATAAAAGTAAATTATTTTCAGAATTTTATAACGGCCTCGGCATTTGGTACTAGAATGTTTCAGGATAAAAACTTAGACATTTTTGATTTTTTTTTTTTTAATCCATCAAAATACTCTTGTGCATGAAATTTAGTTTTATACATTTTCTATTTTTTTTAAATGCCTGAAATTTTTTTGCTTTGCTCCCCCTGCCCAATTCCCGAACCTTGGCAAGAGAAGTAGTGAGGGGAGCGGTGATAAAAATAGTCATTGTTATCGTTGACTGGTGTTATGGGTAAATGGCAGCAGAATAATGAAATCCCAATTGTTGTATATGTTTAAACTCTTAAAAAAAAAAAAGGCCATCAGGTTGTGGGAGAATAAATATTTTAGCTTCCAATTTGAATTTAAGTGCTAGGTCTTATGATATGGAAGCATAATTTCATTAAAACCCATTGCCATCCAGTCAGCCCTGAGCTCAGTGACCCCATGTGTCACGGAGAACTGCTCCATAGGGTTTTCTTGGTTGTAATCTTTACAAGAACAGATTGCCAGGCCTTTCTTCCGAGATGCCGCTGGGTGGGTTCGAACAGCCAACCTTTCGGTTAGTAGTCGAGTGCAAACCATTTGTGCTACCCAGGGACCTTCAGTCAGGGAATTAAAAGCATAACTTGTCCATAACATGATGAATACAATTAATGTTATTACTAAATTGTACATGTGAAGAATGTTAAGATGGCAAATATTTTGCTATGTACATATTTACCACAGTTTTTAAAAATGGTCATTTCAGAAACACCATCGTTTTTGCGGCCTCTGTTAGACCGAATTGTCACCAAAGGAGAAACAGCCGTCCTGCAGTGCATTGCTGGAGGTAGTCCTCCCCCCAGACTGAACTGGACCAAAGACGACAGCCCCTTGGTAGTAACTGAAAGGCACTTTTTTGCAGCAGGCAATCAGCTGCTGATTATTGTGGATTCAGATGTGAGTGATGCTGGCAAGTACACGTGTGAAATGTCTAACACCCTGGGAACTGAGAGAGGCAATGTGCGCCTCAGTGTGATCCCCACTCCCACCTGCGACGCCCCCCAGATGACCGCCCCATCATTGAATGACGATGGATGGGCCACCGTGGGAGTCGTGATCATAGCTGTGGTTTGCTGTGTGGTGGGCACGTCCCTCGTGTGGGTGGTCATCATATACCACACAAGGCGGAGGAACGAAGATTGCAGCATTACCAACACAGGTGTGTAAACAGAAGCTTGGCACAGGTGCGCGGTCATGTGTGTTTGTGGTTCTGCAGCAATTTTCTTCTAGAACTTGTGTCTCGCTGTCTGAGTTGATGTCAGAAGGATGACGTTTCTTTTCAAGCTGCAGAAATAACGGTTGGCTAAAAATAACACCCCCAGTCCCAAATAAATCTAGTGTTTGAAGATGGATACTTTTTGTTAAAAACCTCATTGGAATATCCTGTAGGCAGTGAGGTACAGTCCAAATGACAGAGTGAAACGCTCCAACTCCTTCACAAGCTGGTGATGGAGAACCAGGAAAACACCTCTTCAGTGAGGTTTACTCTCTCCAGCGGTTTTTGTTTTGTTGCGTGTATGTGTGCGCGCACGCGTGCGTGTGCGCGTCTGGCTAGGGCTTTCATAATTCATGGGGAAGGGTCTGTGATTTGATTAATATGTGCACATTCATATTCATGAATAATATTAAGCAGGGACTATAGCAGAATTGAACTTACTTCAAGAGCTAAGATACTGTTGTTGTGAGCTGTCAGTCGATTCATAATGATCCCATGTGACGGGAACTGCTCTAGAGGGGTTTTTTGGCTGTAATCTGTATGCAAGCAGATCGCCAGGTCTTTTTCCCATGGAGATGCTGAGTGGGTTCGAACTGCCAACCTTCTGGTTAGCAGCCGAGCACTTAACCGTCACTTCACCACAGCTCCTTGCTTAGATGCTACCCTGTGAAAATTCTTAAGACCTTACGTTTCTAAACGTTTGCTGTTTCTAAAATTGGGGTGGATAAAGTAGAGATCAGCTCGTACTTTGCAGATGATTCCCTTCACCTGAATCCTACATAACCAAGATAGTTTTGCTAGAGCAGATCTACCTGTTTGGTTTGTGCAGAAACCAAACCAGAATGTACTGTTCATCAGGGACGCCTTTGGGGGCAATTATGCTCATTCTTGGTTAATCAAATGTTGTTGTTTGATTATAGATGAGACCAACTTGCCGGCAGATATCCCTAGTTATTTGTCATCTCAGGGGACATTAGCTGACAGACAGGATGGGTATGTCCCCTCAGAAAGTGGAAGCCATCACCAGTTCATCACTTCCTCAGGAGGCGGGTATTTCTTACCACAGCATGACAGTAATGGTAAGTGTTTAAAATAAACATGGGCTTTAGTTGAAATCATATGATGGAAGGCTCAAGTATAGTACTATTTTTTATAAGAAATAGATACATGGATATTTAAGACCTGGCCCAAGGTTACTAACAAAGCTAAACCTATATAGTTATATACTCCCCAAAAAACAAAAACCAAACCTGTCGCCAGTGAGTCGTAGCTGCCCTGTAGGACAGAGCAGAAATGCCCTGTAGGGTTTCCAAGGCGCAGCTGGTGGATTCGAACTGCCGGCCTTTTGCTTAGCAGCCGAGCTCTTAACCACTGTGCCACCAGGGCTCCAAATAGTCATATACTCTTCTCTTAAACACTCGAAAAATCTTTGTTTCTAATGTGAAGGTTAGGTAAATTTTAATTCCTCCATGCCATGTAATGCTTCCTTTACATTGTAAGTATTTGTTCTTTTTGCTTAAATGACACTAACTTCTTTCACATGTGGTCTTAAAAGTCACAGGCTTTAAAATCATTCTCTTAGAGAAGTCTAATGCTGACTTTTGCTTTAAGAACTTGGTTTTAAGAATAATGATGGAAGCAGCATAATATAGAAGCACAGGCTTGATTCAAAACCCACTTCTGCCACTTACTCCCTATGTAGCCTTGGGCAAGTTGTATAACTTTTGTAAGCCTCATTTTTCTTTTCTGTTAACCGAGGCTAATTATAGTACTCACCCTACTGGGTTGTAGTGAAAATTAAATGAAATGATAACGCTACATAGTGAGTGGCACATATTGAGAACTCAGCAAATGGAAGTCATTGATATTATTGCTATCAAATATTTCACCATCTTTTCCCACAGACATTTGTTGAACACTGTCTCTGTGCCGGGCTCTGTAGTTCGGAGGGAAGCGGGGAAGCAGATTGGTTCTCAACTCCATAGTTTACTCAGTGGGGAGGCACACAAATAATTACAGATTGCTTGGCAAGGTGGTAGTAGAGGGTATAGAGTTGGAAAAGAAGTGCTGAAAATAAAAGTGAGTGTCCTGGTTAGACTCATTTGATGGCAAAGAGCAGAGACCAAAGCTTGTGCAAATATAGTGGGGTTTACAGAAAGGACGCAGTAAAAGCCTCGGGCAGAATGGGAGCATAATGGCGCCGAGTTGCCTGGATGCTGGGGCTGAAGGTGGCCTCATTCAGAGCAGCTCCAGAGGCCACAAGCTCTGCAGAGCCACACACTGCGTGTTTGCCTCTCTCTGAGACCACCATCCCCTCTGTCAGGTTTCTGCTACCCATACATGTCGCCCATTGTGGGCACCTTTGACCCCGATGATACCTCCTGTCTTTCAACTGCTGCATCCACTAAAAAAACAGTTGCTGTTGAGTATACCTGACTCATGTCAACCCCGTGTGTGTCAGAGTCCAAGTGTGCCCCATAGGATTTTCAATAGCTGTGATCTTTTGGAAGTAGATCACCAGGCTTTTCTTCCAGGGTTCCTCTGGGTGGACTCAAACCTCTAACTTTCCAGTTACCAGCCAAGCGTGTTAACTGTTTACACCACCTAGGGTCTCCACTACTAA